ATTAAAAGAAAATATTAGTATTGTAGTAATTGTTCGCATCTTATGTTGGACAGACGAGCAGGCAATTGAAAACTAGAATCACAGAACATCGTAATCACATTAGACATAACACTTCTGTCCGTTCTGTTATAACTGAGCGCATAGACTTAATTTTAATCATGATTTTCAATGGAATAACAAAAATTTTAGATGAAGAGCCTTGTTATAGAAAACGCTTGATATCTGAAATGCTTAATATTAAAAAACAGAAAAATATTCTCAATTTACAAACAGATACTGAAGGTTTTCATAAAGCTTATGTATCCATTGTAAATAAAGTTTGACTTTCTAATATCGATAATTGTTAGTCTTGCTCAGTCTGAGTCCGTTTCTTCAACGTTATTAGTCATCTTACACAATGTACACAATGCAAACTTTTTAATTATTTGTTTCTTATTGTATTTTATCTGATTTACACGTATATTACTATAGTCATGCTGACACACCAAATTAACATTATTGCCGATTTAATTTGTTTAACTTTCTTGGTGAGTGTTCTTTTAGAAATTTTGACATAATTTGTTTAACATTTATTAGGAAAGTATTTTACCATCGTTTCAGAGATGTTATACATACGACTTTTCAATCGTGTGTAACTATAATGTCATTTTTCTATGAAGACTTGCAGGATTAAATGAAGACTGTACGAATGATCTTTCGACGATTGATTTTGTTCCGCCGTTTTTAAATGTCTGAGGAAGGCTCAATCAGAGAGCCGAAACTTGTAACATTTATATTTATTATCTATTTTTTATTTATTATCTTATTTTTTATTTATTATCTTATTTTAAAGGCGAATTATTGTTAATGTCTAAATTAAGTAGTGACTAATTAAATGTTTTATTAAACAACTAATATAGGAGATAAGGGCAAGAGCCAATAATTCCGTTAAAACCTTTTTAAATTAATCTAATATATATTGCGAAGAATATCACATAATTATGGCGTTTCGTCCCAACTTCCACTACTGGAATCATCAGTAAGGCATTGTAGTGGAAGCCTACTATAGACGCCTGTTTAAGTTATTAAATCGAGATTCTGTATATACAGATATACGCGTAACAAAGCACTTGCGAGAATTTTTGCGAATATCTATAGACCTCTGATGGCGGGTCGACGTAGTAATATTCTTCGCAATATTTATTTTAAAGTATATGTGTAATTCCCCTCCCATCCCCCCCCTTTTCAACTTGCGCGCTGAACATTCGTCGGTCTTAAAACGCAACTTCATCTGAAAATTCCCCCCAAATTGCGCGCCGAACTATCCTCGGTCTTGAAACGCAACTCTAATAATCTGAAATAATTTCCCCTTAATATACTTGTAATTTATAAACGCATTATTTTCGCCCCCGTAATTTAAATGATTGAGATAAGGCTCAATATATATTAAACAACTAATATAGGAGATAAAGGCAAGAGCCAATACATATTACTTTAAAATAAATATTGCGAAGAATATTACTACGTCGACCCGCCATCAGAGGTCTATAGATATTCGCAAGTGCTTTGATACGCGTATATCTGTTGTGACCGTACTTGTGAGGAACGGCACAACTTCGTCACTTCATCCGCTGCTCTTTTTACGCGATAGCTCAAAAGCTGGACACAATAATGTACTTAGCAAAAGTGCGGTTCTTCCTTAAATTTTATGTGCTACGATATTCGAGCCGTACTAATTTTCGTGGGGCGCCAGGCACGAGAGAGCGTGCCACTCTTCGCACTAAATTAAGATGTTACGCTCGGACAAAGAAATTACAGAGCAACGGAATTCACGACGGACAGGCTCAGCTAGCTCAGCCAACGAAATTGGTAGAGGGGGGGGTTCGCGATATGCGGGAAACAATGTCGGAGAACGAGGTGGAGACAGACAGAAATAATCAGACAGAAATTAACATTAAGAATAACAAAGAGTTCCCACTTTATTCAGTTCGCGTCGATACATGAGCTGACGTAATTTACAGAATACCGCGGTCGCGCGTCGACGACAAGTTTACTTTATTACAGAAAGAACAATGGCAAGGTCGTCGACGGCGGTACTCAGAAATGTTCGACTTTAAGAACTTCCAACAAACCGACAGCCTAAAGCTGAGCGGTGACAAGCGGCTTGACTCTAATCTTAAACAAACCGGAATCTCAACAATTAATACGAACAATTTGACTTGGCAGTGACACGGGCGAGCAATAACGACAATCCTGAGTTCACAAACTCTTACGCTCGAGCGGATGGCACGCGCTCATCGACAGAAACAATGACGTTACTCTTTGCCGGTACGACATCGACCGAATCAAATCCGCGTAAATTCT